AATGGGGAAAGGAAGGTTCATTGAAAATATCCTGGTATGAAAAGTCTGTTTTTGTTTGCAATGTTTTATTTCTCTATTCGTGTAGTTTGGCTGATAAAAATCGGTTGAGAGGGATGAAAATTAACACCCAAATGCGGGTGGATTTTCTGTTTGGCGGCTAGGTTTGGAAGGCTACCTGACACATTGGTGGGTAAATATATTCAGCATTTATTTTGTATTTGACGGTAATTAGCTGAAGACCAGCGTGCTTGTTGGTTTTGTGTTGCACTTAAATAGGTCACTGATGTACCAAGGTATCTAAAATCGTGTAACACACGGATTAGAGGCGTTCATTGGTTGTTGTTTATGTTCTTTTCATGTTACTTGTGTTTGACTGGCTTAGATTTGTAAGGGGTTGGCGTTAGGGGGGACAGGCGACAGGAGTCGGGAGGGGAGAGTGAGAGTGTAGCCTTTCAATCGGAGATCACGTGGAAAGAATATCCGCATATATGTCGCTTATTCATACTAAACAAAAGTAGTAAAACCCTCAGACACTCTGACACTCACTTCTCTTGGATACAACTGTAATTTAGCTAGGTAGGTAGATTTATTTGCTCCATAGCAGACAATAAACATTAAAATGGAAGCAATTGTAAAAATGGAATACAGGAATAAAGTACAATCAATGGAGCAGTGCTGAGGATGAGTTTGAGTTTAAGTCTGATAACTTGGGCGGAAAAGCTGCTTTGCAGTCTGGTGGTGCAGCAGCAGAAACTTCTATATCTCTTCCCAGAAGGCAGCAGGGTGAACAGGCTGTGGCTGGGTGGGTACTGTCCTTTAGTATCCTTTGGGCTCTGCGTAGACACCTCACCGATATCACTGATGCTCGGGAGATGGGTACCAATGATCTTCAGAGCAGTTTTAATCACCCGCTGACTTAGATGAATTGTATTTCTTCAGTTGTAATGGTATTTTTCAATGAGACAATGACTCCAGTAAATAATTTAGTTTAGTTTAATGATAATTTCAAACAAGTGAAAATACAAATACATTAAATACATGTGTACCCGAGCTGGTCCCGGGAGCAGACTCATCAAGCTCTGCATTACATCGAACCTCCACCTTCATCTCCACACACATTCAAGATTAAAACAACAGTGTATACAACTCTACAACACATCTAAGGATATAAGAATACCTCTAAAGAAACAAAACTGAAATGTAGTATCAGAAATAATACATCATTTTCATATTAGCAAAAAGTGGATATGCATGAGACAAGGGAGAGTTAACATCAACAGGTTATTGTGCTGTGTCACATGCTGACCTTCGCAGTCTGCAAATGCACATTGTATTCATGTGTCTAGTAATACATTTTATCAGGACTGTGCGAGGGTGTTATCAGCTTCGTAAGGCCTGAGTGCCAATGCTAGCAACATTAAAGTATTAATGTATTAAAAGTTTCCACTGTTCTCCCATCCTCTAATAACACAGTAACAACGAACTATGTGCAGTTCTCCCATGCTTCCATGTATTTACACATAAACAAGAAGACGTGGGGTGGATTAAATGGTATTTATTCTACTGTTTTGAAGTTATTTTTTCTGTTGCTCTCCTCCTCCTTCTTTTCGTCCTCCTGTGAGTGATGACCACAGCATGCTGCCTTGTCTTCAGTGCTTTAGGCCATAAAAGAAAAAAGAACAACACAAATAGTTGTTACTGGTTAACTAAAGTCAACTTTAAAATGACTCCACTACCACACATAAAACGGGGTTCAATAGAATAATCACATTTAACAAAAGCCTACATTTTGGCTAAATAACTGTTCATTTTCGCTCAGTCTGAGTTTCAGAGTTTCAGAGCAGAGCTGCGTGACAACGCTGCCACAAATCTCCGCAAAGTGGCTGTTGTAAACTCAGCTCTGAAAAAATAGTCAGCAGTAGGAGTGCAAATGTAATGTAATGTAATAAAGTTTTGATCTTTTGAACCTCAATTTTTATATCTTAGTTTTCAATCTTGCAAAACTTTTTTTTGTAAGATTTTGTGTTTTCAAACACTTAGTTTCAATCTTTCAGAACTTTATTTTCAGTTTTGAATCATGGCAGGATATTAATCCCATAGAAGTCTCCCTCTTCATACAAAAATGCGGAGGCCGCAGCATGAGAGCAATAAGGCTGAGTGAGACAACTGCACCTCAAAGTTCAGTGAATTTTCAATAAACACCTTAAACCTTATTCTAATAAACATGTTAATCATTATCCTAATCAAACTAGGTATAACATATTCACACATCATGGCTACATAAATAAATATTCAACAGTAGGCACAAAGATAAAATATCAGCATCATAAATTAAACCTTATGAAGTTTTTATCATTTTGCTTTCAGGCCTACATCCCTTTGAACCACTAACTTACACTGTGAACTTGGACATCAATGACATGTACTGAAATTATACAAATAGCAATGTAAAGGCTATCATTTATTTGAATGCAGACTTTTTTGTCTTCTTGTTTCAGCTAATGAAACATGACTCTAGGTAAGTCTTGTTCAGTTGTCTTTTAATATGCAGTATAGTAAACATTTTGTCATTGTAGGGCTATGACAACTAAGATGATATTTATTCTAGGGTTGTCATATCTTGGGAGTCAATAAACATGAAGAAAATAATGTTTTTGTAAGCATGATACCTAATTTAACCATAGTAAAGTAATTGTAGCATACAGAGTGTTGAGAAAATAAACTGTGCAGACTTAAGCACAAATCACTGATTATTATTACTCATAGGTGTTTTTTACACACGCATATTTTCCCCACCACATTTTGAAATGGTTGAGTTTGTCCCCATCACTTTTTGAAAGCGTTAAAAATGTGCTGAAAAATAGATTGCACAAAGTTGTTAACTAAGAAATACCAATTTCAGAAAGGTTTATTTACACACTAAGAAAACATGCAATGATATTTAAATTCATAAGAAACAAATGTGCATTGTCCAATAAAAGTAATTTAAGCTAAAATAAATCAAGCCGCTAATTACTGCATTATATTCTGTTATATTTTTATTTTTATAAATTGTCCCCTGCCAGCTGAATTTTTTGTGGAGAGGAAGGGGGCCCACAGAGACTGCTTGTAAATGGGGCCCAGAATTTTGCGCTACGGCCCTGGCAATACATACTGCACACAGATTGGTGGGACATAGTCAGCATCTGAAAAGTTAGTCTACCAAATCAAATCTACAGAAAAAAAATCACTTCCATGCTTTACAACAGATATGCAATCAAAGATCAGTAAACACGATGATGTGGTGGTGATGATGTGATCCACTTACACACTAGAGCTAGACAAAATCCCTGAGTGAACAAAGGTTTCACCTTTGCTTTCCTCAAAATAATTTAGCTTTGAAACAGTAATGGCCCTGTTCACACCTGACAATAACATGTGTCTTTGGTGATTCAGTCACAAGTATGTCAGTTCACACCTGACAGCGCATCTCCTCCTGTCTTGAGTGACCACTTGTGATCGTATCTCATTTCCCTTCTCTATATAAAATCAACACGCACATCATTTTCTTTTTCCAAAGGCCAAATTGTGCATTGAGTCCATGTAAATTGTCAGACAGACTTGTAAGCCCAACACCTTTGTTCATCCTTTATCACACCAAGCCTGTTGTTGCCTCTTGTCTCCATTGTGCAGTCAATGAAACGCATCTGAATCAGAACAGATTTGGACCTGAATAATGTTTCTTCCACATAATATATGCTATTATATACTGTATAATCAAGTAAGATATTGGATAAGCATACACCAATCAGCTATAACTTAATGACCACTGACGGGTGAGGTGAATAACACTGATTAACTCAATACCATGGCACCTGTCAGCGGGTGAGATATATTAGGTAGAGAGTTAACATTTTGTCGTCAAAGTTTATGCTGTTTCTGATAGAACACATAGTGGATACACAGTGGAGTCCATGCCTCGTTGGGGCAGGCCTGCTTTGGCTGCAAAAGGGAGACCTACATTATGACCAGCAGGTGGTCAAAATGTTATGGCTGATAGTTGTGCATGTTGGTAATGTTGACATGATGATACAAAAAGTTAGAGGATAGAATGCCTGAAATTACAATCAAATATTGTATAAACTCAAACACAGCCTTTAGGTTCTCCATAGAATTGAGGGGAAGTGCAGAGTCAGGTGATTAATTCTCTGTTCTTTCGCATTTCACATAGTCATTTGATACATTATTAAAATAAAGGCCTGTTTATCAATCTGCAACTTATTGTAAATTTCACGTGATCATCATCAATGTTACTGTTTTACCCTGAGTGATTCAAGTCTTTAAGGAAAATGAGAAATCCCCAGCTCCATGAAAGTGGAATACTGCATGCATGCACACACAAACTCAAACACATGCTCAAAGGTATAAAGTTCCCATTGCCAGCTAAAGGCTTAGGTTTTTTGACCCCCTCTAATTTTAATGTGAGTGTGTCAAATCCCCAGGCTCTTGTCCTGTTTCACACTGTGGCACACAGAAAGACACAGGAAGTTTTTACCAAGGACAATTAAGCCAATGAATATGAAGAGGTGAAGGGATTAAATATGTTCAGACAAACCTGTCTTAGAGTTATAATCTAATATAGTTGCATGTCAACTAGGAATGCTAACAAGTAGCTCAACGTTAAGCGCCGCACAATGGGACACCTACCTAATATGGAATAAGAAAAGCCGCTCTACTCTTGTCTAAGTGGGGGTTTGCTTGGAGATTCCAAAACACAAACAACAGGACTTTGCTCACTTCACCGTGCTGCTTTTGTTCCTACTGAACCCCAGTGTGCATTCCTGGAGCGGGATCAATAGATAGAGTGTAATTTTTGTGGCTGTCAGCAAGAAATTTTTAATTTGTCAGCTGTCTTGGCACTGTGTCAGGAAATGTTTGACTGTGTGACCCCGGCGCCCTGCAGGCGTGTGATATGAAGGGCGGGTATATAAATGTCCAGGCAACAACACGGGCCCACAGTCCGTCTGCCTGAGGAGACTGTCACAAACACCTCCAGCAGAGAAAAGGTAAGACTAAAGGCCATCTACTGAGTGTAGTCTTAGAAAATATTCACAGGGCAGTTGATGTGCTTTACTGTAAGTTGATGCGTGTTTCTGGGTATTACAGGATTTTAAAGATGTGAGGAAGGGTTGATATTCTGTTATTACACATAAAGTACAGATGGTGGGCTTTGAAGGTTAATTATTTTTAGACTGAATATCCTTAAATTTGATTGTAGAAACAAAAATAAAGGAATTTTGTATTTTTCCACTATGTTCCTCTTAAATCACTTCATACATTTTTTCAAATAAAAATGAGATCATCATCAATCAAATGAGAGGAAATGCTGCTTGTCTTTGTCATATGTCATTGTAAACTGAATATCTTGGTGAAACAAAAAAGAAATTTCAAGACCTAAGCGAAATTGCAATGGTTATTTTTTTCACAGGAGAAATTTACTGGCAATATACTTAACCAAAAATTGTAACTACTGTCACTGTACTTCTGTCTAGTCAGATTTACTTAAACAGAATGAAGTGATGACCTTTTTATACAGCCATCTGCAGTAGTAATGACTACATTTCTGACTCTCCCAACAGATGACTTCCCAAGTTCTCCCGTCCATCCTGCTGGTCATTTCTACTGTCCATGCTTTCCAGTATACAGAGCTGGCGCAGTACATTGACAGCCATCAAGAAGAATATGTGGAGGTACAACATATTGTACTTATCCCTTTAGCAATACGTTTAAGAGCCCCAGCACTTAGAGTCCAAGCACCAGAAATGCTTAAATCTAGTTGTTTTTATCCAGACTAGTGCAATGCCCGATAAAAACGTGCCTGTTCGGAGTGGACTGATTGCTCGGCCTCCAGACTTTCTGCTTGTAGCTTCTGCAATATTATCAATCTGCAGAACCCCCGCAGTTCCAGACATACGCCTCCAGTTTCTTTCCCTTTTTAAACTTCATTAACTACACAGTAAGTTTTAGACGGTTTATTGAGGTGGTACCAAAACACTACATTTCAATTCTAATAATCATTATTGTTATTTCTGCTTCTTTGTTAAATTACATTTCATTGACTGAGTGTAAGACGCACTGCACACACGGAAAGCATGTACAATTGCTTTTTGTATTGATAATGTTAAAATACACAATCAAACATTTTGATGATAGACTAACGTTATCAGCATTTTCGGTAGATGTTGAAAGAAATGCCTTGCCATTGAAATCTAACTCTAAGAAGTTTTTCATTCAGATGTAACAGTGAAGTAATTAAATCTTACCCGCTATATCATTACTATTGACAGCCTAGCCTATAGTTCATGAATTCATGCTGAAGCTAGCCAGCTACCCCGAGATGTAGCTGCTTTCCAGGGTGTTACAAAGGATAGGTTAATGTTTCATTCACTGAAAGTGAAGCTTAATAACATTAAGTTAACCAAAATTAAAATAACTTTTTTGTCATTTTTATTTTAAAGGAAAAGCTTTTTTGCTATTGCCCCTACAAAGTAAAAGAATAAATACAAAGACAAAGAAAGGTGAATGGACCCAGATAATCTTTACAACATTTCATAAATACGATTGATAAATATGGTTGCTTGAACACAAAATAATGATCAAGAAGAAGATTTTCTCATGTGGTGTGACTATTCGAGTTAATTAAAGAAGCTTCTCCAAATGCACTAACAAAATAAATTCATGTAACCATTTTTTGGAAACCAGTGCTTTCCAGTCTGTAATTCTCCTACAAAGTTGACAAAACCCCTTAAAAGGTTGTGGTGCTGAGACCAAGTTGGTGGAAAATACATACAAAATGGAAATGCTGTTTAAATCCTCAGCAGTCTTCCACAGAATGCATTAGACCATGATTTGATGATTTGTAATAATTTGCCATCGGGGACAATCACAATTCTTAAATTCTTCATGCAAGAGTCATCAGTGTTAGTGTAAATGCTTCATACTGTATGTCCACTTCTTAGCAACTCAAAGCCCCCCCTTAGCCAAAAGGTGGCAGTATAACAAGCAACATATTATAAAAAGCAAATACTGTACAGCCTTGCTTCTTATTTTTTCCCTTACTATAGACTCCTTGATTTAAAATGTTGAAAAGCACATTTTGGACATTGGACACCAGTAGTGTGCAGCAGTAGTACTGTAATATAATTTACAAGATGGCAGAAGGATTAAATTAAATTTAATGATGATGTATGTGTGTGTGTGTGTGTGTGTGTTTTAGACTCTGCGGGACTGGGTTGCAATCGAAAGTGACTCCAGCAATGTCTTGAAGAGACCAGACCTTCACCGCATGATGGAGATGACTGCTCAGAAGCTGAGGCAGATGGGAGGGACTGTAGAGCTGGTGGACATCGGAGAACAAGAAGTCAGTGACAGAGCCGTGTCTCTCGCGACAAACCGGCCTCTCCCTACCTTTCATAAATGCTGCAGTACTAGAGACAGTAGGGCTTTGTGTACAATCATTACCCAAATTGCTTAGTAAATATTCTGTATTTCCAACAGAGCAGTTTGCTCGTCTGGGACGGGGACAGTGGCAAACGAGCTGCTACCTTCAAAAAGGCAGCGGAGCGGTCAGGACTAAATCTACCTTCTCATTACTGACTGAGACACATCAAAGCTGCTTCCCAAACTCATTAAATATATATTGTGTTTGAGGTCAGAGTAGAGGTCAACAATCTCAGCTTCTTACCAGTAATTAGGACCAACATAGCTTGAAACTGCATTATATTGTCTTAGTGAATGGTATAAACAATAGCTGCGGACCCTTTGACATCAAACTATGCTGAAAGTGTTTATTTGAAAAAACATAGCAGCAACATTTCTCAGTACCTCTGCCTTCCTGTACGATCATCGCTGTTATAATGTTACGCACTTTGTGGATCATTGAAATTCCTTTGATATTTGAGAGATATACACACAGATTGAGATTGTGCAGCTATTTCTGTACTGCTCTGGTGGGAGCCTTTAATGTTGCAACATGTAAAAGCAAAAAGCACTGACTGCACGTAATTGTTCCAGAAGTTGAGAAACCAGAAAATCAAAATAATTGAGGGATGGTAAAAAAAAAATAAATAAACTAGATGTAACACTGCAGCAGTTCCTGTTGATATTAACTCTCCTTGATTGTCTGCAGCTTCCTGGTGGGCAGACTATAGCGTTGCCTAAAGTGGTGACAGGGAAGTTTGGCTCCGACCCAAACAAACACACAGTGTGTGTCTACGGTCATGTGGACGTCCAGCCAGCGAAGCTAGAGGACGGCTGGGCGACGGATCCCTACAACCTGACTGACATCAATGGTAACCGCCTTTAAGCTTTTGTGTCGCCATTACCAGTTCATGCTGTGCAGCCAAACATTGTTCAAACCAACATAACTTCATTTTAAATTCTAGTGGTTTCCAAAGTGTCCAAAGATACCAAACAGGTTAGGCTGAAACTGGGTGAAATGTGTATAAAATATATATGTGGTACTGAGAAAATGAAATGATTTTTCCAATCTTAAAACTATTGCCTACTACATAGTGGCCTTGCCTTTCGCGATGTTTGTGGTGATGAGGGATCGCATGTCCAAAATAAATATGTTTGCATGTATGAGAGACCAGTCAGATCAGTCTCTCATCCCAAAACTTTGAATAACAAGATTTCTCCTTTTGCTCTTTAATGCTGCAGCTTTGTGTATCAGAATCTTTGCGGACAACAAATGTACATGAAATAAGGCACATATAGATGTGTGTCCAATGATTATCACCAAAAATGATGCCTCATGTATCACTATAATTCACTGATCAATAATGAGAAATACCTCTTCTTTTTATTTTATTGCAAATAAGAATTACAGTATTTTATTTCTTATTTTATCAAATAATTGCCCTTTATGTTGTTGCTCAGCTTGTTTGACAGTCAATTTCAATAAGAAACTCAACAGAATAAGAGTCATTTCAAAATTGGCCATATTTGTGTAACTTATTTTCATCTGTGTTGGCACTGACATTATTTTTTAAAATGATTATTGTTAATCAAAAATACATTAAAATGCATAGATTTATACTTCAGTCTTCAAGATATTCTCAGGGGGCATGTCTCTAAAACCCCCACAGCGGGACAAGGACCTCATTATTTCTAAAAACCTGACTATGGCCCTGATTACTGCTGTGTTATTTCAGTCACAATAATCTGATCTGATGAGAAGTGATTAGCACAAATTAGGCTTTCATTGATGTTTGAAACCCATAAGGATATTTTGTATTAATGTTCAAAATGTCTAATTTGTTCCATGTTTCAGTATAAAAGTCTATGAAGCAGTGACATTTAACACTTTAAATGAAGAATGAATTCACAGAAATGTTATATTACATGAGTAACTAAATTGCTTTACATGACAATTTTCACGTAGCAAAAAATCTGTTGGGATTAGATGAGATTAGACTGCAAAAAAAACCCCAACAAGGTTACTACCTTTTACTGGAGCTTGTAACTCCATCAGCGGTTTCCTTAGTTGTCAAGGAGATGGCTGAGATGATGTCATTTACATTTAGTCATTTAGCTGATGCTTTTATCCAAAGCGATTTGCAATTGCTATAAATATCAGAGGTCACACGCCTCAGGAGCAACGAGTGTCTTGCTCAGGGACACATCGGTGGAGGTGTTACAGTGGGGGATTGAACCCGGGTCTAACACACCAAAGGCATGTGTCTTATCCACTGCCCCATCACCACCCCACATGTCATCATGTGACCCATGGATGGAATTTAAGTAATTTGATAACAAGTGGTTGCATTAGATTAGATTAGATTTCACTTTAATACCAGATTTCTCTGAAATGTGTCTTTCATCTTTATAAACAAGCCGCTGCTGTGCAATCAATTTCAGTGCTTGGTTTCACATTCAGGACTTTACCTACACAGGTACACGTCTTTTTATTTAATCTCAAGTGTAGAATAACCCTCTGGCCTACTGAGAACTGGTATATTATACAATGAATCTTGTGCCTGTAGGTAACCTTTATGGAAGAGGAGCATCAGACAACAAGGCCCCAGTTTTAGCCTGGATCCATGCTGTGGAGGCTTACCAGGCCCTCAATATGGTGAGAGAAAGTTCACAATGCCACCGTTTTATTGGATAGTTTTTCATGCCACAGATGAATAAAATCAAATTTGTGAGAGATCGGGAGCTGCAGAGGCACTGTGACCTCAAGTGAGACCAAAGGACAGATTAGAGCACTTATTTGCTAATCATCTTTGTCTTGAAAACACTCGAATTATAAAAGGGTAAACAGAGAGACTCCTCAGGCAAGATAGACCTTAAAGATAACTCCCATTTCTTTGAGCAGACTGTTTTAGTCGGGTAAAATACTCGACGCATTTAGCTGGAACAAGCTGCATACCCTCGGGCTGGTGAGAGAGAAGAGCTGAGCTTCAGCCAAACTAACGTGCAAAGTCACTGCTGTTTTTGCAAAGTCACAGCAGCAGTCTGTTGCTGCCACTTTGTCTTGTGAAAAAATACACAGCTGAATATGCACATCAAAAGGCCTCAGCCAGATGCTGGGTGCATTAAGGGGAAAGGAATCTTGTGGTGTGTTGACAAGACTAGTTTCACGCGCAGCTCATGATTTTAGAGTCTGCAAAAATTGTTGTAACACCAGTACAATTTCAAAAACTTGTGTTTGTCATCTACACTTTTTCTTCCTTTCTGTCCACCAGGAGCTGCCTGTGAACGTGAAGTTTGTCATTGAGGGCATGGAGGAGACGGGCTCTAACGGCCTGGACGCCATGATCCTGGCCCAACGGGACACCTTCTTCTCCGACGTGGATTACATAATCATCTCAGACTGTGGCTGGCTCAGCCGACGGCCCGCCCTCACCTACGGCACCAGAGGCAACTGCTACTTCTATGCTGAGGTTTAGAATGCGAGAACACTGAACACACAAATTGGTTTCAAATAAGTTGTGCCTTTATTCTTCACTCTCTCAAACACACACACGTTTATTTCTCTATCCCAGTGGAGGCATCTCATATTGTTCCTCGTTTGGATGTAACAGCACTTACCTTGAAAGAAAACTTCTTTTATTACCAGCACTCAGCAACTCTGTTCCAGTTCTAATCCTCCTGGCTTCCCCATGCTGCAGAAACAATACCTCTAACAGTCGCATATATTGCAGTCTAGAGGGATACATAGAAGATTATTCTGGCTGTCCTGCTCTTCTGAATCTTGTCTGAGAATATGAGCGTAACATAATTTTAATACTGGCTGAATTCATATAAAATACACAGCTTGTTGATATATTCGGTGGTGTCTACAATCTCACTTTTACAGAGTAATCAGATTTGGCCCTAGGGCCTTTTGGACTCTGTTCTTATTCCTCTTTCCTTACTTTCCCCCCTCCCATTTCCATCATATTATTTTAAAACACTACTGCCTTTGCATTATGACTTCCTTTCTGGAAATATCGCTTCCATAACCTCATTCCCCATCGGTTAGTGCCCAGTTCACACTACAGAATTTTAAGCACGATTTGTCAGGCTGTGATAAACCATCGCTCGCCAACCGTTATGTATGAACTACTCAATGACGCACCTGGCTCGCTAACGCATTGTCTATATCTGGCCTGCTAAATATCTGGAAGAGTCGGCTGATTCCACATCCAGCCAATGAGAGCAGGCTGCTGGCAGAGCAGGCAGATACTTTTTCACTGCGAAACACTTTTTACTCCCCTCCAGCTCTCTGTAGCACAGACAATCCCTGCTACCTGCGTGTGATAATCCATCCTTTCACCCAGATTGGCTTTATCATTTTAATCTTTATGTTAATAATCAACAGCAGATTAGTTTTGATGTTTCGGCCCATTTCCCGTGTCACTTTTCCTGTGTGTTTCTTTACAAAACGTGGTTTGGAGACCAGCCGTCAGCTAGTGTAGTGTGTGACCCGCTGTCACGTAGTGTGAACGCCACAACGACTTCAAGACTCCCGTCACAAGACAGCAAGTCATGGAGTCTGAACAACACAGCGATCTGCCGGCGCTGAAAGCCTTGTAGTTAAAATCCTCACCAGGATGTAAAAACATAAAACACACACACACACTAAACCCGTGTCACTCTAGGGTGTTTTCATGGTGAAGGTTTCCTCCGGTGTGTTTGCAGGTTGAAGGACCTAAACAGGACTTACATTCTGGTGTTTATGGAGGCACTGTGATCGAACCAATGACTGACCTTATTGGCATCCTTGGTGAGTGTCTCTCCTTGTACACATGCATTCATTCACTCAGTCACTCACAGGAACATAAGACACTGAACCAAGATCAGCAATATGCCCAAAACGTTTATTACATTTTTATTCAACCTTTATTTAAACGGGAAATCCCGTGACTTGCAGCATCTCTTTAAGACGTGAGACCTGACCAGAATGGCAGGTAAACCTGATTGAAGGATACGGGTAGCATTATTTTATATTTTTCTAATTGTCAATAAATAAAATGATAAGCAAAACACTGACAATTGTATTAATCCACCTCTCAATACTTTCTGACCTCCCTACTCTGTTTGATGGTTAGGTTTAGCTCAAAGCTCATTGGTTCTTACTGAAGACATCCACCTTAAAAACAGGTCACCAATAGGTTCAGTTTTAAAAAAGGCGCACTCATTTCATGAAAATCACAATTTTAGTTTTAGTTTTTCTCCAGTGTTCCTCAAACAGGAGGAAATATTAGTTTGAGACTGTTTTCAATGGTGGATTTATACATATTTGGTGTTCTAGTGGTACTTCAGGCAGCAGGGCAGTGTATGTGGGATTGACTCAAATTAGACCACAGTGTGTGTGTTCATGGTAAATAAGGAACATGTCACCGAGTGCAACAGAGTGGCTCCCTGATGTGTTTTCAATAATTTTAGGACACAATGGAGCTCTATGGCACAGAAGAAGAAGAGATATAAGGCTTTAGGTTACATCCACACTACTACGTTTTTTACGTCTTACGGATTTTTAAAACTACACCAGCTTTTTAGGTGTGTATCAGAAATAATCTCGAAAACGACTGAAAAAGCACATGTAGTGACCAGGTACACTGGGCATGCGCGTTTTGATGTAACCATGAAGCAGATTGTCTACTCCGCAGTTGCAGAAGAGTTTTAAAATGAAAACAGGTCAGCTGCGTTTTCAAACATCTCCATTTTAGGTCTTGGGATTCACTGTTTTACTGTGGACAGGAGGTGCAAATGAAGGAGCAGGTCTGCGTTTTAAAACGAAAACGTGATAGTGTGGATGTAGCCTTAGATACACACACAATACTTGTTAGCGGAATATATTCATTGTTGATTTTGGTCTTTTCATAGAATTTGTTGGCGAGGCAGAATATCACCAGACGTATCCTTTGATACAAGAACAGACACAGTGGGTTTACAACAATCATAAGAAACATATAATTGAATAGGCTCTAAAAGACATGAAGTAAAGTACAGTACATCCTCAAAACAGTTTCATCAACCTCTTGAAGATTGTTTTAATGTGGTGTTTGAATGTCTGATGTATTGGCAGCCAATCTAACAAAGTATTATTGAAGCGATCATAATATTCTTGGATGGTGTCTAATGTCCTTCATGGAGTTAAACTCAGCACATGCCTGAAGTATAATTTGCCATCGACCCCAGACAACAAAAAGCAGCCTCATACTGGAATAGTGATTATCCCCTGATTATCACCATGTGACAGTGTGTTTAGGAATATGCACCATTGTTCCTATACACAACAAGGCCCGAAGAATAGGGGGTATACGACCTCTCTTTTGATTTCAGTGTTATTTCAGAAATATAATAAAAACCCTGTACATTTAATGAAATTACCACAAACCAATCCCACTATTCTTTATTTGCCTCACCTCTGTACTGTTTTGAGCACTTCATGTCTGAGACATATTGCACGATTCCTTTATTGATTAATTATTGAGTAATAACAAATTATTATATTTGATTATTAGGATTAAAAACGAGCTTTGCTGAATTTCTTTACTTTTATAACAACATAACTTAACAAACTAATCTGAAGGTGAATGACTAATTAGACTGAGAGGTCCCAGTGTATATAATAAATAAAATGCGGTGGATGTGTACTTTAGGAGAGATGTGTAGTATAGTAAGACTGATGTATCTTTAATCAAGGCACTGGATCCCTCCCAGGTCCTGCATCTCTGATATATCTGGCCCCATCCTCTGAGCTCAGTACAGAGTCCATTTAAGACCACATAAAATTTGTTCTTTTTCAATTTCTTGCCTCAGACACACTTATCAGCCCCAGTGGTAAGATCCTGATTCCTGGGATTAGGGAGGCTGTGGCTCCTCTCTCTGATGAGGAATGGAAAATGTACCAGGACATCCAATTTGACATCGACAACTACAAGACCAAAATCGGTGTCAACCAGCTCATGTACAGCAACAAAGTGAGAGTATAGTCTTGAAAATGGTCACAATAATCTACTTCAAGGCAATGTGGACACAACAAGATCAGTGATTGTCATTGTATGTTTCCTGTAGGTTGACTTGTTAGCCCACATGTGGCGCTACCCCACTGTCTCCGTCCATGGCATTGAGGGGGCCTTCTCTGACCCCGGCACAAAGACAGTCATCCCTGCTAAGGTTACAGCTAAGTTCTCCATTAGACAAGTTCCAAACATGGACCCTGCTATGGTCAAGAAACAGGTAAAACAAGATGTGAATGCTCTGCTTTCGAAAATTGCTGCATTATGCGCATTATGTGCCCAACTGCCTGTGTTCTTATTGTGTTATTTCGATCCTTTAGGTAACAGACTACCTTCACTCTGTGTTTGCCAAGAGGAAGAGTCCTAACAAGCTGAAAGTCACCATGGTGATCGGGGCCAAGCCTTGGCTGGCTGACACTCAACATCCTCTGTATGAGGCTGGGAAGGCTGCTGTCAAGAGAGGTACCGCATCACTGCATCAAAGTACTTTACACTGAGAGTAAAGCTGAAGCAAACTGCATCACACTGTAAAAATATAAAAGTGTAGTAATACAAATTCCAGTAATATGTCATATTGTGTCTCTTCTTGTGGGCAAATGTAAATTCATACTTTTCACATTAATCGAAAAATTACATATAACTCTACAGGTTTGACGTCTGTCCCTTCTCAAATTCTGCACTGGCATCAAGCTTAAACATGGCTATTTTTTCATAGGCAGTGAGAAAGTTTTAAGCACACAAGATCTCTTATGATGTCTACTACTAATTGCCTAACTTTAACCCTAACCATAACCTAGTTATAACCTGATCCCTAAACTTTAAACTTGTGGGGCACTTCATTTTGGGCCCCACTAAGCTCCCCACAGGTATAGTAAATCCTGGTTTTTCAGCCCTTCAAAAAAAAGGGCTGACCCCAAAAACACACACACACACACACACACTTACTTACATAGGAGTGCTTTAGGAAATCCTGCTTAAGTGATTTTAAGTGATATTTAATCCCACACGTTGTTGTTGTTTTATTCTCTGGTAGGATACCTGAAAGAAAGAGTTCATGTCGGATAAACTTTGATATAACATGTCCTACCTTCTCCAGTTTTTGACATGGATCCTGATCTGATCCGTGAGGGCGGGACCATCCCTATTGCGAGAACCTTCCAGGATGTGACAGGGAAAAGCATCATCATGATGCCCATCGGAGGCTTTGATGATGGGCTGCACTCCCAGAACGAGAAAATGAGCAGGTTTGACTTCACTTGTTTTACACATGAATTCTTTCTATTTCGTTTTACAGGACGTTTTAAATAAAACCTTTATTAGTTCATGTTTTCCATTGAGGCTGTTGGAGTGTAAAGATGAACACAAGATGCAGGAAAGAAGCTGGGATTTAATCAGAAGGAAAGAAGCTGGAATCAGAACCTCCGGGGCTCACACAGTCTTATCCTCTCTTAGTCATCCACATCCTCGGACTGAAATAATCCTTCAACCTAATATTCACCATATATAAAACACACAAAACAGCAAGGGGTGCCAGGGTAAAATTAATTAATAATTCCACATAAATAACATGATCACCGACTTTAATTTGATTAGAAACAGCTGTACATATTGAAACAAAAAGCTGCACAGCGCAGAGTCATTTAAGAATCCTATTTTATTGTATACAGCTTACATGTATGCATCTGTTGCCGTGAATAATGGTGGAAGTCTGTGCAAAGTGTTTGTAAATGTAAAGGAGTCTTGCATGTTGTTCCATACATGTTTTTGTTATTGTGAATGCCAAAATGATTTTCAAAAAACCAGTCCGACATTCTGAGTCCTGGACCCAAAGATTCTTGTAGATAACAGCTTTTTAACCTTTTTCTTCCTTCAACTTTCTTCTCGCAGGTACAACTATATTGAGGGAACCAAGCTATTCATCGCCTACTTGAATGAAGTATCCCAGATTAACAAAACCAGTGTGTGACATTTCATGGCATGATTAAACGACCTCCTAAACCATTCCAGCTACGATGAGCTCTCCTTGACAAAAGCCTTTTATAAGGGTTTATAAGGTTTTATATTGTCACTGTTTCTTTCATCCATTGTTCTGTGTCTTGCCAAGCTTTTATTTATCTGCATCTCAAGCTCCTCCTCCGTCTCTCTTTTCTGCTATGCCTCTTGCCATTTAGTCTGTAAAATGTATTAAATAAAGCCTCTATTCTAACTTGTGAATGTAGACAAAAAAATCTATCTATCTATCTATCTGACATTGTAAGTGATTGTGCGCATGCTACCACTTTTGATTGGTCAAAATGTGTAAAGTCATCTTGTGTTCTCTTCACTCACTTTGCATATGTAACATGTTTTTATGCTCCATATAATGTGAGAGAGTACTGAAAGTGTGTGCGTGTCATGTAGTAAAAGCTGTACAATGCAACAAGTGTGTACTCTTTTATTATGTAAGAGTATTGTGTATGAGTATTTTATAATACGGACAAAACACACATACTGTTCCTTCAGTCATGAAACATGAAATTTAGACAGAAGCTGTGCAGACAGATGTGCTGCTGCCAGCAGTTGCTGTATGTATGGAAATAATTCAGCCATTGTCAGATGTTAGAGCACTCTACCCAAAGTCTAAAGTCATGTTCCGCCAAGAAAGAATAATACAGTAATATTTCCTCTCGTTCGCAGTAAAGTTTTTCTTTTATGTTAAAGGGATGGGTAGCACTTTATAATAATAGAGAATAAGAAAAATCACTACAATTCTTTTAAAAAAACCTTTTTGGCATTCTTTATTCAAGAGTGGACCTTATAGAAAGAGGATACATGGGGAAAGAGGGGGGATGAGATACAACAAAGGTCCTCAGCCAGTATTTTAAAAAAGGATGTTGTGGTTATGTGGTGCACCTTAACAATCTCCCCTTTTAGATTTTTATAATTGACTACATTGCAAAAAATATATAAATCACATTGTCTATATTAATACCACTATAAAGTTGTATAAATGTAAGGACATTATTTAAAACCTTTATAAATGTTTTTGTTACCAATTATAGCCTCTTATTAAGAAATTACTATTATCAATCAATTACTAGTGTGTAATATAGCTGTAATCATATATAATGGTATATCAGTACTATAAATACATTCAAAATTCACAAAGACAAACAATTACAATATGTTTTTGACAAAAGCATCAATATCTAGACATTGTATCTGCTTACAACTGCATTATAGTGTGTGAGCGTTAATATACGGCTTATAAATGCTAGAACGTGGTGGCAGACATTTTTAATGTGAAAATATACATTAAATTGAATCACAGCATTGGTATTTCAAAAAAGAAAAAAGATTATTACTTGTTTGATGTTTGTTGTTTGACGTGCAGTGAACTCAGATGAGCACAGACATTTATGCATAATTATGGCACATTGAAAATCTGTAGAAACAGCTTTGGACACACTAGAAATATTATAATAAAGATGCCACTTCTCTAAATTAGAAAACCTTGCAGGTAGCACTTGTAGATGATGACAGGTGTCATCTCAACTCAAATTCCACTGTGGCGTTTATTGAATGTATGCATATTTAATATATTCTAATATGCAGTATTTGAGGAGAGAAGAGTCATATATGGCAGCAGGAAGTGGTAGGGAGGAACCCTGGTGTTGTGAAGAAGCCGTGTCTGACATTTCAGCGGCCTGATTCACAACACCAGCTGACCCTCCCCACCCGCACACACTCACACTACTGTAGTGTGGTAGAGATGTAGTGTGAAGGATGAAGTCAGGAGTTCGTCTTCAGTTTATAGTTACTTTATCGTGCTCAGAGGGCGGCAGACACAGTGGAGCCACAGAAGTAAATGGAGTTTACCCACCATTTAGATAGAGAGCATCATTCTGCCTTATGAGCATTAACAGTAGTGGACTGAGACTACTCACCCCTTCTCTGTAGTACATGTATGTCCTCTGCTACCACTACACAACTGGCTGCAGTGGTAGGGCATGTAGTTGCTGTGAGAAACTCTCTGGACAATGAGGCTATAACATGGGTGCAGTACACATTGTCTCCACTGGAGGGCAGTTTGAATACAGCAGCTCCCTTCTCTGCTCACTCACTCTGAGTCTGTCGATCAGATGCCAAGCTGGTCACACTCTGACTTAACCTGCAGATAATAAGACAGAAACAGGAACATTTATTTAAAGCTGGAGCATTTGCTTCCAAGTATATTTAGTCTTAGGGTTTATCAACAGCAAGACCTGACCCAAGGAGAGCCTCAGAAATCACATGAAACTCAGTAACATCACTGTAAGATGCGGGTATTATCCTCAACACAGCTAGTGATTATCTTTAGCAAGCCTCAGTGTGACTGCACAGTGAAACACAAGACAGCCCTCAGATGTAACAGTGCTCTATTTGGTTGCCTATTTATAAAGTTCTTTGGTATTGAGGACAGGGCCGTGATGGAGCTGAGAATAACTGTGGTTTCACAGCGGCAAGCCTTAATCCACCTTGAAGCGGCCCGCTGTGTATGGAAACTGAAATCATGTCATGGCAAAGTGGGTTTACAGTAAAATGATCTTCAAGCAGTGTTTCACTTCAGAATAATATGTCACTTATTTTTAATAGATTCACTAATAGGTCTGTTCACTGAAAGGGCCAATAGAAGGATTTTGGACAAGCTTGTCAGGTGGGGTCAGGCCGGTGAGATTTATCACGAGTAATATCAATAGCTAGATAGATAGCCTACATAGATATATGAAGGAAGTGAACAGATTCTTTAAGTAACAATAATCTTTACTTGTAATTGATATTTAATATTGGTATTAGTTTTAAATACTCACTTACAAATGAAAAGTCTTGAACTCTTACAATTTAGTAAATATACTTCAAATCAACAATTACGTCAAATCCACAATTACCATTTAGTATTTATTAGCAAATTGTAATATCATTTGTTATTTTGGATCCAACCTGATGTAAAAACCACTATAAAAACAAGTCCTCCCTTATTATTCTCATAATGACATAAATCTTTGTATTGTGCTGTTGAGGGTCATTTGTTTGGATCTATGCTGTCAGTTATGCGGCTCTAAAGCAAACCAACAGCTTCAATTAAAGAATAATGAGGCGTCTACAGGAGCTGAAAATCTAAAAGCATTTCAAATATTTCTAGTTTGTCCGCAGAGAAACAGACATCCACGCCCGCTTCCTGCTCTCTGTCTGCCATGTAGCTTTGTTGGGTATACCACTTCACATAGTGAAGTTCCACCCAGCTGTTTGAGAGTGCTGTGCAGGTGAGGCGAGGCGAGGCGAGGTGTAAACCGTAGGTGAGCGAGCGACTTTACTGTACGACTTGTGCTGCAGAGTTGGGCAAGTGCTCACAATGTTCCACAGCTCTTGTTGTGAAATTGGGTTTTAAGAGTAGCCTTTGACCACTCCATTAATCACTGGTTTGTCCTTATGCCTGGCCAATCCGGGACGGGTCAGACCTTTACTAATTCCTATACAAGCTGCTGTGTCACACTCAACATAATATCCCAGTACATTTCTCCTAATCCCTTTTTATCAGGTTCGCTGGCCTTTCTGGTCAATCTAATTGCGACAAAGCCCACATAAGGCCTTTTGTGCCAAAAGAAAGTTATTTTACGCTTTCAATTAAACGGCTGGACCGGCCCAGCGGAAGCTCTTTGCCGAACGCCAGTGTCCTTCAGACAAAGAATGTCACTGCGCATAATGGATAGAAACCCTTCAGCAGGGAAGAAGGAAAGGAGGTGCAGGGGGGGGGGGGGGGGGGGGGGCTCACAGCTGCTCGCCTCACAATTTAGCTCATCTCAGAGGCAAAGGTTTTTGAGTTTTTTCTCGGGGAAGGAGCACAAAGATTTAAGTAACAATCAAAACTAGCCTGAGGGATTATGATTTGGAGCAGGCGTGTGTGTGAGTGTGTGAGTGTTTTGGGGAATGGAAGCCAAGAGAAAGATTCAGAAGAGGGAGTTATTTGAAGAAGTGCATCACAGTTTCAGAAAAGGTGAAAGCAGTCAAGGGTTTGAGCGTGAAGCTTTTAGGCAACGGCTTCTTTAAAGGTTTTGTTGATTTCCATTGTGTTAAATGCTCCAACAAGTCAATTTTTTGTCTTTGTCAGCAAGGTTTGTCCTTGTCTTCAGCTGCCCACCAATTGGTTTGTTTATATTTACAGCAAAGCTTGCACATTACAAAAAGTTAATTTGAGTATTGCAGTTACTTTCTGAAAGACTGACTGAGTGCTTCCATCACCAGCAAGAGGAACTTTCTTAAAGGCCTTTGCCCGGACTTCCTCACAGCCCCATCCTAAAATATCCAACCACTTTACTCCAGAGCTCCAGCGTCTCCATTGGTTTGCTCTAAATGTCAGAACTGATCTTGAGATTTTCCTCATGGTCTACAAATCTCTCAGTGGCCTCAACATGCTGAACCTTTGAGTCAGATAGATCTCTTTGCTCATCTGGATTAAGTCTTCGCTGCCCACAACACTCATCTCGATACAGCACGGCCCCTTTTGTCTGTACAGAGCACTTCCCTAATTTGACAACAGCTGAATATACATCACAAAGAAAGAATGAGTGATATCACCGTGATGAGTAATCCCTCCTTAAATCTTAACTCATTATATTATAAACGGCTGTGCAGTGTTTAGGTGTTTGATTACCCTTGATGTATGGAAATGTATGGAACTATAACTGCATCGATAACTGGACTTCCTAGATCTTATTGTCTCATCGTTTTTGGTCTGATCTCTCTAAGTCTTTTACTTGCTTAACCCTAACCATACCTTAACCAAGGGGTGGTGATGGAGCAGTGGATAAGACGCATTCCTTTGTTGTGAGAGACACAGTTTTAATTCACCACTGTGACACATCCACCAACGTGTCCCTGAGCAAGACACTCAAGTCCTAGTTGCTTAATTATAAGTTGCTTTGGATAAAAACGTCAGCTAAATGAGTAAATGTAAAATGTACTTTATTTGCCATAACCACATGAATTGCCTTATCTTCACCATGCTTTCTAGCGGCCATGCAGAGATATTGTAGAAAGAAAATCATTTTAAAATGTTGGCATTGAAGGTTGAAATTGACCATAATCTGAAGAAAACCGTAAGAGATAATGCTGAGAGTATATTGTACATAAGCACGCAAATTTGTATGTACTTGTTTTTGCGTGTAGAAAACTAAAGTGCATACTAGAAATAAGAAATTTAGCCAACTGTGTCGAGCTAACTTGAGCCGCAAACATTTAAATCTTTGTCCCTGACACCTCTATATCGGCTGCCCAAACCTATTTCGTCCTCATTTTATCCAGCCTCCCTGAGTCCGCTGTAGCAGCCCAGCTGTCTGTCTGTATGCAGTGCTAGTGTGTCTCTCTCTGACAGGCCCGGCAGCTCTCCTGCTGGTTTCATCT